TCTGTACTCTGTCTCTTTAAAGACTTTACCCTTTTTCTTTTTAAGACATTAACTTTATTCTTTATATTCTTTTTATTCTCTCTCTCAAGCCTACGTACATTCATCCAACAGTGTCTGAATCTGTTTTATTGTGAATCTGTAATTTTTTTACTATCCAGGAGCATTTTTTAAAATGTTAAGCACTTCTTAAAAACTTAAGCTGCACCATGTACAGGTAATACGGTACTGCCTGTGTCCTGTCCAGTCTAAACCTTAACTGCGCTGTTATCACAGTAATTACGGTAGTTCCTGCTTGAGACCAGTTCAGTTCAGCATGGTGGAGCTGAGCTGCTCCTGCCTCAGAGCCATTTGGTGTCCCTGAGCCACACACAGTTCCAGGCACACAGCAAGTCCATATTGGCACCGCAATCAGCAGTTTAATTCTGAGACTTGAGTGTGCAGCACAGAAACTCTTTTCATCCAAGTTACAGCAAAATCTGACACGCAGAGCACTGCGCAGACTGAAAACGCATCTCTGTATGGCGGCAGGAATCAGCCATGCTCTTCTGACTGCCTAAGCCTGATTCTGCCATCTGCCTAGGTGCAGGCGGGGAGTGCTGAGCCATGGGCATGGTCTCAGAGTACTCTCCTTCTGATCCCAAGTGGGAACAGAAACATCCAGTCCCATATAGGCCTTGAAATGCTTTAAAGCCAGAGTTCACGCTGGCAGCACAGTCCCCAGGAAGCAGCACTTTAAAATGATGCAGCTTTTTTTTTTTTTTTTGCTGCTGTTGCTGAATCAGGAAATTTCTCTACATCACGCCACCAGCAAACAGCAAAAATCTCTGTTAAACTCTCTCTCCCTTATTTTTAAGCCTTCTCAGGTTTTTAAGTGGATTTAGCCCATCACATCTGGGCGCCATCTGTTGAATTAAGAGTGGCGGGGCTGCGTCCCTGGCACCCGGCCGCCCGCATGGCTAGCTTATGCCCGAAATAATTACACAGAAACTGTATTCTTTCAAACACTGCCTGGCCCGGCTATTTCCAGCTTCTTCTTGGCTAGCTCTTACATATTGTTCTAACCCATTTCTAAAATTCTGTGTAGCCCATGAGCTGGCTTACCAGGGAGGATCTTAACCTGCATCTGTCTGGAGTGGGAGAATCATGGCGACTCCTTCACTAAGCTTCTTTCTCCCAGTATTCTCTTCTGTCTACTCCGCCTACCTAATTTTCTGTCCTATGAGGGCCGAGGCAGTTTCTTTATTATTACAAGACTCACCTCCATCATTGAACATTAAAAAATGATGTGAGCTATTAATTTTCAAAATTAATATTCCTAATGCATTATAAACTCAACAATTGATAATTTGCTTTTAAGGTTTCATTGGCTACACACGTATCTGCATTCATT